TATTCGAATCGCTGGATCCACCTAACATTCTTCTCTGCAAGCATTGATGCCATTTATTTTTGGAATGCGCAATTACTATGCGCGATGCAAGCAGTGAGTTTTTCCACTGTCATGGCGGCGGAGGTTACCTGTCCTTGTAATTCCTAGCGGCAGCGACTGGAATCAAGGGCAGAGAACCAGTGCTAATTCCTTGTGTTTACAAAATTATGCGCGCGCAGCGCCACCTATACCGCTGGCATTGCTAGAAGAGGTAGGGGGTGGTAGGGGGGAAGATCTTCATCCTCCCTCAGCTTGTTAATAGTGATCGGCTGGACCGTCGGTGTCGTTTACTATAAATAAAATCATAATCCATAAATGTTAAAATCTTATACATGTATATCATATATCTTATAATATTGCAGTTAATGTTGCTCAGCACCCCCCTCTATCTTTTCTAATACCCATCAGATGGTTATTCCTTTGACAAAAATAAATTTTCTAGGTTTTTTTACACTGTATCAAGGTTTCACAGTATTACGATTTATTCTATTTTCACTTTACGTATGCAACACACTACATTTTGTAGCGGAGTAAACAGGCCCGATAGTCGTGAACTGAGCAGGGGACCTAAGGTCCTAGTTGAGCGTACGTTTTATCCTTCTGCTTTAGATTTATTTATAGTTCGCGCTACCAAGTAAAACGGCATTTGATTGGTCAGAATTTCCCTATAGGCGGCGCTGTCGTCTACACTATGGAGGAGCGGATCTATCTGTGGCCCCTTTCATAAGAATATCCTTATTTATTTGTTAAATAAAATTTGCCAGTAATAAATGTCTTCAGGATTATACTTGTCAATACATACCAAGCTAGAAATATAGGATTTTTTTTGACAGTTTAATTTTTTGAACAATTAAAAATGTTTTCAAAGTGATGAAATAAAATACCCTGTGAAAAGTCTCACAGGGGACTCAATAAGAGTGTGTGGATTTCTTTTTTTTCTTATCTTTTTTTTAAGGTATCAAAATTATTTATGAATATCTACTTGTACATGGATAGATAAATATTTAGCGGATCTATGGAAGTCTGAATCTCATTTTTGTTGTGATTTTTTAAAATTAAATATTTTATTTTATAAAGTTTTTCAAATAACAAAATTTCAGTTTCTTATAAAGATCACTATCAAAAGAAAAATCTAATACGATGTATGCATTTGAAAAATTCAAAAAGATTTTTTTTGACAATTGGAATTACATATAAAGTCTAAATTAAAGCAGGAAAAAAATAAATTAAACAATGTATAATGTACAGTCTGGAGAGGTAGTTGTTCAGTCTACATACATCTTTCAGTAAATGCATGTAAATATCCACAAAGTTATACGACTTTAAAGTGCAGTGCATGCTGTTAATGTATACATACCTATATGTACATTACAATACTCAAATTTAATACACATCAAGCATATAAATTAATATAGTTTTCAATCCTAATAAATGCGTTTAATTTTAAAAATGTTAGACTTAGAAAATTCTAAAGACTATTTAAATCAGATTTGTTTTTTTTTTTTTAAATTGAAAGGTGAAATATACATTTTTCATTAAAATAAAGAAAACAATAATTATAATTAATTGCACCAATAATGTAAAATAAAAAAAAAAATAAAATTGTTCTTACTTAAGATGACATCATAACCATGTAATGGGAGTTATAACAGTTGAGAAATGACTTGAAGTTTCTAGATAAGTGTACAGTTGTTAAATAAGCATATAAATCAAGTAGTGAAAGAAAAAGAAATGGTGCTCAGAAAAAGTTTATGAATTGATTATTTTTTTATTATTATTATTTGTTGGATGTACTAGTATTTTGGAACAAGTTTACTGTTATGTGTATAACTATTAAAGTTTGAGGTGTCGTTGGACAGAGGTGCCTCACATTTCTTGGGCCCGGTATGTTGAACCCATTACTGGTCTAATGGCCCAATGCATGCCCCTCTTTTTTCCGAAGACGCTCTTCGACTTTAAGTGCTCTGGCTAGACAACCATTCATCTCATGATGAAATATCTTGCATTATTTGAATGAAAAGTAATGAGGTACATGTAAGAGATGGGAAAGCTTTTTTTCTTTTTCAAGAGAACTGAGTTCTTTGAACATTATGATTTTCTGACACTGACCATAGACCTGCATGAAGCAAACCCTTTGCTTTAGGTCTATGCATTGACAATTTCAGAATTTAACTGATCAACTGATTTATCAATAAACAATAAAATGTAGCAATTTTCTCTTCACGGCTCCGCCCTCTCTAACGGTTACACCGTCTAACATATTATATTAAAGTTTTTACCTTTTAATCTTGCTACATGTAAAATTTATTTCAAAGAAAAACCCGACTCAATGTTTATTAAACCGCTGAAATACGGATGAAATATCACCAATTCTGCCTAATACAATAACAATCAATCGATCATTATTTATTTTAAAACTACGGCGCCACTGGGCCGTATAAAACATATACATGAGGGAAAGAAAAAAATAAGACCAAATTTAAGAATGACTCAGTTAACTTTACTTCATATGAACGCGTGTTTGTATAAGTATTACGCCAAAAAATTGAATAACGGAGAAAAGTTACTGCATTGAGTATGACCGAATTATGACGTTATCAGCACCTTCATGGCGTCAAGTCATGTGATCCAAACATGGCGGCGCCCATAAATAAGGTCAGAGAATAGAGTGTGCTGTTATCACCTGCATATGGGGTTTATGTCTCTCAGTTGATTCGAGGCACAAAAGCATGCTCAAAGCATGTTCAAAAACCATTTCTATAAAGAGACGAGTTATAAACAAACAAGTTGATAAAACAAGGATACCAGGGTCTAGATTGAAGGTATGATTTCTCAAGTTATGTTCGATACAATGACCTTGTCAGCAAATACAACCTCTCATTGAGTCAAATGCTAATGCGTTTTTCATACAATCGTTAGTCCATGATTATTTACATATTGAATTGTCTACTTTTTCGTTTTCTCCTATCATTAATGGAGAACAGGCGGGTGTGACCGGTCAGTAGGGGATACTCACTCCACCGTGGCATTTGATCCAACCTTTTAGAGGTTCGTGTTTACTCTGCTCCTGATTTGAATTGTTTGAATGAACTCTTGAATACTGTTTGTTAATCTCTTGCATTTCATTTGAAACACTGAAGAAAATCTTAAGAATTAAATACGGTTGTTGCCTATATCGGCCTAGTAAATTTGCAAAAACAAACAGTAATATTATCAGGTATATGATGCTTATTTATTTTCTACACCCTCGGGTCTCTCCAACCACGGTATTAAAATGGCGCCAAAACGTCACACATATACTACGTAAATTTCAGCAACCTTTCCGTGTACCGATAATTTCACGCAAATATTGCAATTTTTATGATTTTGATTGCAATTTTCACTATGGCCGCAACGAACGCGATTCATGAGACTTATATATGTTTTTGATATAACTGAAATGTATTAATTTATAATGATCCCATCGATCGCGTTTGCTGCGGCCAACACTAAAATTAAAGTTTTGGTTATTCCGGATTCCAGTAAAAAGCATGTTACAGTAATATTCTTACTTCAGAAGTCGTATCGTCCTTTTCATTTTGCGATTCAATGAAATATAATTTTTAATCATAAATCATTAACATACATTATGTATCAATAAGAGTGAAATTGCCTTTGAAAAAAATAACGCTTATTACGGATTTTTTTCAACAACACCAGTTTGGTTTGTTTCGTTATCTACAAAAAGCGTCCGTGACAACATAGATGTAAATTATGACGAACAGTCTAGAGTCTGCAAGCTGCATTTAAACCAGAAGAAAATGACCAGGTAATGATTTAATACATAATTGCATAATATGGGAGTTAACATTTGACAAGTTGTTGTTAATAAGACATCGACATCATGGTTATGTCGTCTGATAATGTCGCACAAGTTAGTGTAATGAAAATGACGTCAGCGAACATTCGAATCATATAATTGGAGCAATAATGCCCAAAATAAGTAAAGCAGATTTTGATTAACCCTTACATTCGTTCATATTAGTGATGTGAAATGTTTTGTTGATCGAAAATTTAAGAGCTATAATAAATTTCTTGCGCATCAAAGTAGACCAAAAATATTTTCGACCTATATGTATGAAGCTTGAATGGCTGAATGGTTATAGTAGGTAGGTAAACGCGCGGAAGGTCGCGAGTTCGACCCATACTCGGGGAATATTTTTTTTTTCATTTATGCATGTATATTTCAAAATTCTTTTACTAGAAATTTAAAAAAAATCTGTTTATTTATTTATTTCCAAATGTAGAAATGTATATGCATATTTTATAATAATATTTTACAGAAAAGAAATATCACAAGAAGAGAGTTAAAATGATAAATGGATGGGATTAACTACTGACACTAAATCAGGTAAGGGTATAATGTATAAATTAAAGGTATACCGGGGTATGTCTTCCATTAATATTTTTTATTGAAATGATCTTGGTGAGAGCTTTTGATAGAAAATAAATACAGTGCTCTTTAATTTTTTAAGATTAATTACAATGTAAAAAAAATATATATATTTGGTGTAAAAAATAACGATAAAAGACAATTTTTTTCTACTTTACATATATATCTGGCGATGATGATGGCTCTAAAAATTTTTGTTACTTTACTTTAAAATTTATTTTCAAGGTTTTCTTTTGAGATTCACAAATTTGTTGCAAGGTGGAGTAAATATTTTGTCTGTACATTAATACAGGATGCCAGGAACAGGACCTAAATCATATCCCTGTATTCTGTGTAATAAGAGGACTACACCAAACGACAGGTACAAAATAAAACCTAAACATACTTCAATATTAGAAAGAAAGTATTTACAAAAGGTAAAAGAAGAAGATGTTCTGTGTTGGAAGTGCCGATATATTTGTGAATCGCAATTACCAACTTCTGAAAGTTCCCCAGTCCTCAGGAAAGTGAACCAAATAAGAGAATGAAAATGTCTGTGACTGCAAGTCCACCTTCTGTGACTCTTAGCATCCCCAGCACATCAAAGAGCCATGCGAATTGTCTTATATGTAAAAAGCCAGGTCCAAAGCTTATAGTGGTGACTCAGTATGCCCGTGTCAGAGCTTTCTTACGAAAAAAAATGTTTGTTCCTGCCGGCTCTAGATGTTGCCCAAAACATATTGCAGATAAAGAGTTTACTGACGATGCACTACAACAAATGCAGCAAACAAACCCTGACACAAATATCAACAGGACATCCATTGTAGAACTGCTCCAACAAACTAGGGAATTCGCTCTACGTAATGAAAGTATTAGACTCAACTTTGATGACGCCAAGAGTATGGATAACGAAGATTATTATAATCTTACTGGGTTGACGAAAGACCAGTTTGATGAGCTGCTCTCATACCTGAAAGACGTTGACATAAGGGCAACCAAGACCAGAAGTGTGAGGTCTTGTATTGCTATTCTATTAACCAAATTGCGTTGTGGAATGAGCAATCATTTGCTTGGAACTCTCTTTGGCATGCAAAAATGGCAGGTAAGTTCTTTAATTTACAAATAATCTACATTGTAGTTCTCTGTAATCTCTAAAAAAAAATAATAGTATAGATCTGTGTTTTCTTTTTCTAGATAAGGCGTGCTGTATTGACAGCAAAACATGCTGTGATGTTGAACTTTGTTCCACATCATTTGGGATTTCCCACATTACCCGGGAGGACGTTAAAGAAAACCACACCCGTCCACTTGCAAAAGAGCTGCTCTGTACTGTAACTGAAAATCTAGTAATACTAGTACTTGATGGGACATATATATACCTACAAAAAAGTGGCAATTTTACATTCTCAAGAAGATCATTTAGTACTCATAAACACAGGCCGTTGATTAAACCTATGATAGTGGTTACTACATCGGGGTACGTTGTTTCGGTGCTTGGGCCATACCTAGCCGACTCCAAGAATTCAGATGCTAAGATTTTGACGCATATGATAGAAACCAACGTAGAGGAAATTAAAGATTGGATAAAGGAGGAAGACATATTCATTGTCGATAGAGGGTTTAGGGATGCAGAAACTCTACTCAACGACATTGGAATTCATGTTGAAATGCCTTCCTTTCTACCACGTGGAACAAAGCAACACACAACAGAAGAGTCTAATGCAACACGTTTAGTTACAAAAGTAAAATAATTATTGAAGAAACTCAAGATCAAAAGCATAATTATTTTTAAAATGTATATAAGATGTAATTTTCAGAAGTATTTCAATTGTGTTCTGATTAAATACTAGTAAATGAAAAAGAACTGTAAATTAAAGTAAATCAATTAAGATCAACATTTGTTTTTAGCTACGATGGGTCGTCGAAAGTGTTAATGGTAGAATCAAAACCTGGAATTACTTGGACAGAACCATTCCCAATAGCCAGATACCACACATCGGGGACTATGTTCGGATTATTAGTGCCATCTGCAATAAATTCAGGCCTGATGTTAGTACAGGATTAGAGAGTGACTTGTCGACAGCTGCGAAGATGCGTTTTCTCTCCACGGAAGTCAATGTACTCAAGGAATATGTAGAGACAAATGGTAAATTGCTACTGTAACTCAATATAAGAGCATTACATCAATATATTTCCATTTCTAATTTTTTTTCTCTATAATAACCCTTTGAAAGTAAGCGGAGTTGATTTCCTGATAATTCTGCCGGAATGTAAATTAGGCAGATCGATAGGTCAGCAGCTAAGGAAGCCTAATACGCATGCAAATCTCCTGCGCATCTGTCTCTGTGTCTTACGCTAAGGAGGCCAAATATGCATGTAAATCTTGTGCGGCTACCTTTGTGTTTGACGTCAGTGTGCGAGGACTATTGAAATTGGCATGGAAGTCCTCGTGTAATTTAAATCGATTAGTCTACATTCTTAATGTCTAAGTCTACAATTTTATTTCACAATGAAATGGAAATATAAGGAATCACTGTCTAGTTTTGAGAGTATGCCAGGGACATCAACAATAGTGGGAAACATGGGATAATTTTAGCATAACGGGCTTCGCCCGTTATGCAAATTATCCCATGTTTCCCACGATTGTTGATGCCCTGGCATACTCTCAAAACTAGACAGTGATTCCTTAAGTAATTTCTAGTCTATTATTACTCCCCTGCCGGTGAAACCGGAGGTGATTACAGGTCAAGATTGTACTTCGTTCCACTTCATTGATAGGGGTTTCCTATCGTGATTTTTTTTTCTAAACGCTTGCAAATATAATCTGAATTTTTAGTAGGTGTGCATCTTGATGAGTTATAAATCAGATTTGCATTTCATTCCGCTTCAATGATTTTTTACAGAGTTATGGCATTTTCATTTTTTAACGGGGACCAGATTTTACATGCCGATAGGGGACTATTGCTTATGCAGTGCTCTCAGAATGCTTGTTTTATAATATCTTGATGAATTATGAATTTCTAAATTTATTACAACTAATTATGAGTAACATGCTTTTTTAAATGTAGGTTTAGACAAAAGGGAAGTAAGGTGGCAGAAGATTGACGCCAGCGACACAAGCATTGCATTTCCGCAACTGTCTGAAGAAGAAATACGCGAATTAACAATGGGGGTATATGAGATAAAGCTAGCTAAATCCTATGCTCAGGAACATCTGGATAAAGATGGCAACTATGAAATTTACGTCAACAATGACCATGATGGAATTCTACGTGCAAAACTTCAAAGCAGGCATATATCGGCAAAGAAGTATTTATTGTGGATTGGGTTTGATGAGATAAATATAAAATCATGGTTTTGCAAATGCAAAATAGGGTCAAGAGTGGTGGGAATGTGCTCCCACATCACTAGTGTTATATGGTTTTTATCCTTTGCAAGGCACAGGGAAAACCCAAAGATTGGAGTTCGCAATTGTTGCAGTTACGTTGATGATGCTGCAGCGCTGCCCGTTGATGATTCTGACAGCGACGAAGACAGCCTTGTCGGAAATGAAGAGGAGTGATATTAACATGTTAACATTTTAACTTATTAAAAGTTATTGAACTTATTAACGTTATTAACATTAATATGTTACATTTGGTTCAAATGATTTTAAGATTTGAAAATGTATTTTGAAATTCATAGAGAGAGAGGGGGGAGGGAGGTTGCTTCTTTAGTACTAGTTTTTGAGAGGACGTAATGAGAACGAGCAAGAGAAATAAAAGTAATGAATTTGTCAAGGTATTCAATAGGGATATCGATTTGTAACAAGAGGCCCACGGGCCTTATAGGTCACCTGAGAATTGTGCAACAACTTTCAAACAATTAAATTTGGTTCATGTTTTAAACCAGAGGCAATGGAATTCGCAATTCACAATTTTGAAATAGGTACCATTGCTTATAATAATTTAGACTTAGCATGCTAACTCTATTTACTTAATACCCAGAGGTAGATCAGAGTAACATTAAGAGAAAATGCACTTCCACTTTATAACCAGTTGTACACCTCATCCCAAAGGAACCACTGATCCTGGGGCCACATATTTCAAAATTTTGCAAATTTTATCATAAAATGGTTGATTAACACCAAAGAGCAAATTTCAAAGCATTTATTTATTTTCAGACTTTGTACCCCCCCCCCTTCACCCCGACCCAGGGAAGGGGCGGGGGCATAAAAAATAACCATTTTGCTAGGTGCACCTTTCTTCATCATGAATATATATATTTGGATCATAGGCATAACACAGGAGCAAAGCAAAGAATTTCAAAGAATAAATGCATTTTCACTATATAACCAATAGAGGCCCGTCCTAACATCAAAACCCCTGACCCTGGGGCCATGAAATTCACAATTTTGAAAGAGGCACTCTTGATCAACATAGCTATTTAATTACATAGTTAATTTAATACCCAGAAGCAGAGAAGAAGACTTTCAAAGAATTTATGCATTTTCACTATATGATCAATAGAGCCCCCCCGCCCCTCCCAACACAAAAAACCCCTGACCCTGGGGTCATAAAATTCACAATTTTGAAAGAGGCACTCTTGCTCATCATAACTATGTGCTTAGTTAGTTTATTTATTACCCAGGAGCAGAAAAGAAGATTTTCAAAGAATTAATGCATTTTCACTATATAATCAATAAGGCCCCACCCTAACACCAGAACCCTGACCCTTGGGCCACAAAATTCACAATTTTGGAAGAGTCACTCTTGCTCATCATAACTATGTGCTTGGTTAGTTTATTTAATGCCCAGGAGCAGAGAAGAAGATTTTGAAGAATAAATGTATTTTCACTATATAATCAATAGGGCCACACCCTAACACCAGAACCCCTGACCATTGGGCCACAAAATTCACAATTTTTGAAGAGGCACTCTTGCTCATCATAACTAGGTACTTAGTTAGTTTATTTAATACCCAGAAGTAGAGAAGAAGATTTTCAAAGAATAAATGCATTTTCACTATATAACCAATAGAGCCCCGCCCTAACACCAGAACCCCTGACCCTGGGGCCATAAAATTCACAATTTTGGTAGAGGCACTCTTGCTCATCATAACTATGTACTTAGTTAGTTTATTTAATACCCAGGAGCAGAGAAGAAGATTTTTGAAGAATTAGTGCATTTTCACTATATAATCAATAGAGCCCCGCCCTAACACCAGAACCTGACCCAGGGGCCAAGAAATTCACAATTTTTGAAGAGGCACTCTTGGTCATCATAACTAGGTACTCTTAGTTTATCTAATACCCAGAAGTAGAGAAGAAGATTTTCAAAGAATAAATACATTTTCACTATATAACCAATAGAGCCCCGCCCTAACACCAGAACCCCTGACCCTGGGGTCATAAAATTCACAATTTTGGAAGAGGCACTCTTGCTCATCATAACTATGTGCTTGGTTAGTTTATTTAATACCTAGGAGCAGAGAAGAAGATTTTCAAAGAAATCATGCATTTTCACTATATAATCTATATAGCCCTGTCCTAGCACTAGAACCCCTGACCCTGGGGCCATGAATTTCACAATTTAAGTTGAGGACTCAATGCTCATTACATTCATAATAACAGTTTGCCTGCTTGATGTCCAGGAGTAAAGAAGAAGATTTTTAAAGATTGCAATAATTTAAGTGGTTTTTGCCCCACCCCCCAGGCCCCAGGGGGGCAGGGACCATGAAATTCACAATTTTTGTTCCCCTTTACCCATAGATGCTGTATACCAAATTTGGTTGAAATTGGTTAAGTGGTTTCAGAGAAGAAGCTGAAAATGTTCAAATGTTAACACACGACGCACGACGCACACCCGCACGACGACGGACGAAAACGGATAGCAATAGGTCACCTGAGTTACTCAGGTGACCTAACAAGTTAATTGTTTACTCGGTCGGAGGTATGGTAATCGTTAGAAAATCTGTAATAAGTTAGGCGAAAAAGTTTAAAAAAATTAAATTTGAACGCAATTTTTTTGAAGGTTATTTATAAACATTGATAATTTAGGATTTCACACGTTCATTGATTTAAATGTGTCTACTAGTATGATTCTACGGTATGTGGGGCATGGTTCTTGGTCATTTTGTGTGTGAAGTGTAAATTATTGTTAAAACACCAAGTTGTTACCCCGACTGACCTGTAATTCTTTGTGTCCAATCCCTTTGGCATTTGTCAATGAAATATGTTCAAAATTCATTTATGATAATTAAATCACCGTTTAGCACTGTGAATTAAACACTGTAAATTTAAAAATGTAATTCAGAATAAATCTTAATTATGGTGACAACGCTGAATGAACTTAGGTGAAATCTGCTTTGGAGAAAAGATCTATGCCTTTTTTCTCAGACATGATTCATGGTTTTCTTGATTTTCTTCCAGTCTACTGAAACTGAATATATATATATATATATATATATATATATATATATATATATATATATATATATATATATAATAGTATGCATATTATTTTCTCATCAAGAATCAAGACAAATAGAACAGTTTTAAAAATTTTAGACTTAAGTACTTCTTGTGTACATGAATTAACTTATGAAAAAACATATTGAAAATATATTTTGATATGGTTAAGCGGTTAATCGCTCTTTAGGTTAACCGATTAGCAGTTCCGTATT